CTCATTTTAGCTCGAAATAAAAAAAAAAATTATACAACTATTTATATAACAATATATTACATATATTATTTATATAATAATATATTATATATATTTATGTATAAATTTAAATCATAACACCTCATGTGGTAATGTGATTAGTGTCTTCTTTTGTATATATTTGATTCAGGTTCGAATCCCACATGTTACAACTATTTTTCTCAATTTAAGTTTAACAAGCCAATTTCGAGCAGAACACGAGCCGAACACGACCACAAATTTTTAAATCGAGCCGAACACGGACACACTGTTCACGAGCTGATTTCGAACACGAGCTATTTCGAACGAGCCGAACACGAGCCAAGCCTGAGCTCGCTCAAGCTCGGCTCAATTACAGCCCTATGTGCGTATAGTAAATTTCTATGTATTTATATGTCTATTAACTAAATTTTAATTTTTATATGCATATCATGTTATCTTGCCTATGTATAAGAATGTGTATTTCACTTTTGAAAATAAAAAATAATGATATTTTGATGTCATATAAAAAATTCATATTATATAAAGATAAAAATTATTCGGCACCAACAAACATGTGAATGGTCTAGATGGAAGTAGTCCGGTCAGACAAGCACCTGACTTGCCTGTGCTTCTCATTTCTCATATGTGATCAAGTAATAAGAATCATGGTGGTAATCAATCAACTAATCTGTAACAAACTTAAGAAAACCTCCAACTTCAACACAAAGGAAAGATATTCACCTTTTAACATCTCTTTGAGTAGGGCGTGTGAAGTGCTTTGCACCTTCTTGCAAGCACGAAAGATCTTCTCTTCTTTAGCTGTCGGCGACATAAGACCGGGCATTTTCTTCTCGATCAATGTAACTCGGTGGGAATGTTCCAACCATTTATCCTACGTGCGATGCAGAGTTGCTTCTTCCAATCGATAAACATTTGTTAGGAAGGTTTAACATCTTACGCTGGGAAGAAAACACCACCATCCAGCCATTTTGCACCTTTAATTGGAAGGATTAAAGAAACAAATTGGGGGACCAAAACAAAAATTACACATGAGCGTGCATTATGACCACCATAACGCTCATATTTAAGTTAGGACTAATATGGGCAAAAAGAAGCACAAAAAAGTTTAGTATATCCACTAGTTCTATGCACAGTGGTAACTATAAACTTGATTGAAATTGCTCAAAGTGCACATAAATCTTATGCTCATGAATGGTATTAGCAATTCCCTCTTTCCTCGTAGGTTTCAATGTCATAACATTGTCAGAAATATACTTGGATTGAGCCTCTGCTAATAGCTTGTTATCCATCTATGAACCCTTATGATATCTTGTGGACGGGGAGGACGAGCCACTCTTCTCCAAACTTGACTCTATCATCAAGAAAAATTTGCTAAAAAAAGCACGATAGAAAAGAAAAAGTGAGCAAAAAAAAAAAATTTTCTTTCACCATATAAGTTATG